AGAAAAAGAAAACTACAGGTTAATATTGTTGATGAACATTGGTGTAAAAATTCTCAACAAACTCTGTAATCTGAATTCAACAATATATTAGAAAGATCATTCATCATGACCAACTCAGATTTATCTTTGGGATGCAAGAATGGTTCAAAATACATATATCTATCAATGACTTACATTATATCAACAGAATGAAGGATAAAAAAATATGGCCATTTCAATTGATGTGGAAAGACGTGATAAAATTTAACAACATCGCTTCATGATAGAAATCTGTAAAGAACAAGGGTTAGAAGGAACTTACCTCAAGATAATAAAAGCCATATATGACAGACCCAAAGCTGGTTTCATACTAAATGGGGAAAAACTGAAAGCTTTTGCCATAGGCTCTGGAACACAAGGATGCCCACTGCCACAACTGTTATTCAACACAGTATTGGAATTCCTAACTGGAGCAATGAGACAAGAAAAAGATATAAAGGGCATTTAAATTTGAACGGAAGAAATCAAATTATTCTTGTTTGCAGATGATATGATCTTATATTTTTCTAAATAAACCTTAAACTAAAATGCAATAAAATAAATAAATGGGAAAAAACAACAACAACAACAAAAAACAAAACAAAACAAAAAAACCTAAAACCTTAAAATTCCGCAAGAAAACTACTAGAAATGATGAAAAAGTCAGCAAAGTTGCAGGATACAAAATCGACATAACAACACCCAGAAGCATTTCTATATGTCAGCAGTGAACAATATGAAAAAGAAATTGCAAAATATTTCCATTTGCAATAGCCACAGATAAAATTAAACCCCTTCAATTAACCATAGAAGTGAAAGATTCCTATAGTGAAAACTGTAAAACACTGATGAAAGAATTTAAAGTGGACACCAAAAAGTGAAAAAAATATTTCATGCTCATGGATTGGAAGAATCAATATTGTTAAAATGTTCACACTGCTCACAGTACTCTACATAGTCAATGCAATCCCTATCAAAATACCAAAGACATTCTTCACATAATTAGAAAAAAGAATCCTAAAGTTTATAAGGCATGACAAAAGACCCTTTTTTCTAAGCAAAAAGCAAAAAACTGGAGGAATTGCACTACCTCACTTCAAGTAATATTCCACTACAGAGCCAAAACACCATGATACTGGCATAAAAACAGGCACACAGACTAATGGAATGGAATAGAAAATCCAGGATTAAATCCATAATCTTACACTGAACTCATTTTCGACAAAGATGCTAAGAATGTATACAGGGGAAAACATAGTCTCTTTCATTAATGATGCTGGGAAAACTGGATAACCATATCTAGAAGAATGAAACTAAACCCCTACTCTTGCCATACACAAAAATTAAATTGAAATTGATGAAATGCTTAAATCTAAGACGTCAAAATATGAAACTACTACCAGAAAACATTGGGGAAAATCTGCAGGACATTTATGTAAGCAAAGATTTTTTGAGCAGCACCCTACAAGCACAGGCAGCCAAAGCAAAAAATGAACAAATGGGAATGCATCAGGTTAAAAAGCTTCTGTACTGCAAAGGGTACAACCAACAAACTGAAGAGACAATCCATAGCATCCAAGAAAATATTTGAGAAGTATGACTCTGGAAAGGGATTAGTAAGCAGAATATATAAGGGACTCAAACAACTCTATAGAAAAAAATCTAATAATTTGATTTTAAAAAGTGGGCAAAATATTTTAATAGACATTTCTCAAAGGAAGACATACAAATGGCAAACAGGCATATGAGAAGGCACTCAACATCATTGATCATCAGAGAAATACAAATAAAAACTACAATGATATATCATCTCACCCCAGTTAAAATGGCTTATATTTAAAGGACAGACAATAATAAATGGCTATGAGGTTGTGAAGAAAAGGCAACACTTGTACTCTGTGGGTGGGAATGTAAGTTATTACAACCACTATGCAGAATAGTTTGGAGGCTCCTCAGAAAACTAAAAGTTGAGCTACCATATGATCCACCAGTCCCATTGTTGGGTATATACCCAACCCCATCATCTCAGTCCAAAACCTCCTTAAGCTGATAAGCAGCTTCGACAAAGTCTCAGGATACAAAATCAATGTTCAGAAATCACAATCATTCCTACACACCAATAACAGACAAACAGCCAAATCATGAGCAAACTCCCATTCACAATTGCTACAAAGAGAATAAAATACCTAGGAATACAACTAACAAAGGATGTAAAAGACCTCTT